CTTTATGTTTCTCATGGCAGGCAGGCAAAGAAATATCAAGGCTTGACAAAATGTTAATTATTACAAGTTTCTGCAATACAACCTGATTTTGGTTGTAGCTCTGATTGGCTATTTATAACATGAGTATCTGACCATATTTAATGTATTGTTTTGATTGGTTATTTGTAGACCAGGGGTGGATCCAGAAGGGTTTTCTAGGGGGTGCCGGGTGAGCAGACAAGTGTTTCTTTATAATTCTTTAGGGGGTGGTGGGAGTGCATTCAAAAGAATTGGCTTCCTAACAACTTGAGCACTGAAGGCGCAAGCTCCCTAGGGGGTCCAGGAGTTTGCCTGCCCGGAAAATTTTTGAAAAATTTATAGAACCCTAGAAATGCCATTTCCTGCGATATGGGCATTGGATTATGAGCTTCAGTTGACTTCAAAAAAGGAAAAACCTTGGATATTGTGCCATATTTCTGAATTTGATTTTTTTGCACCCCTGTTGACCAAGGACAACAGGGGTGCGCACCCCTGTGCACCCCCTATAAATCCACCCCTGAATTAGACAGTGATATATTTAGTAGTTGTAACTATAACTAGATTGCTTTTATATGTAATTGACATTTCTCCTGGGACATTTTGATTGGATCCAAAAGATAAAACTACACTGCGGGTGAAAAACAACCCAATCAAGGCTTACTGCAGGTTAAAGTCATTATTATTCATGTAGTTCAGGTGCAGCTAGATTGTACCTGTAAAAAGGCCCCAGCTAGCCCTCTCTAGCCAGATAATGTTTTTCAACATTGGTAAAATGTGTTAAACACTGGGATGCTATGGCTATGGCATATAAACAATTAATAATAATGTAAATAACAGTAAATATTAAAAAGCTTGAAAAAACAACCATATGATGGGTAGCAGTATCCAGCTTTTACACAATTGCCCATGGTAATGCCACCTACTCTACAGTAGCTATTTTATTGAACAACAGACAGGGTGCATAAGATTGTGCTTTGGCTAGATACTGGCTATGATGGATAGTTAAAGTACAGTGCAACCACATGACCTGGCCAAAAATATTCACGTGGGTGCACCAAGTTTCATTGAATTTTATTACATTATCACCGAGATATCAGACTTTCTTGTTATTGCCACTATTTCAAGTCAAACCTGTGACGTCATAACTCAAAATATGAAAAGTGCAATAACTTGAGAATGAGATGAGATATGAAAAAACTGTAAACGTCATTCTTCATCACTCTATCAGTACTTTGTAGAAAGACAATAAAAATGATGAGGTGAAAATTTCGTTTCATGAACACTTTATCAGATCAGTTTGTTACAGATTTTTGCACTGTGATTACAAAAAATTGCACTGTGATTACAAATTTTGCGCTCCTGTTTGAGATTAACTGCACTGAAATCAACCAATCAGAGTGGAGTAATATTTTTGCATCTACTGATTTTCAATCAGTAGCTGCATTGTTAGGACGTAGGTAGGCATATGTCGGGAAAAGCACATTTGATGACAGATTGATGACGTATCGATGTAATGCATTGCGAGCATAGGGCGAAAGTCGGTTATCTACGGTTAGTTCCGCTGTTGTCCATAAATGGTTTTGTCTATAACACGAGTACTCAATAAAATGGTTTTGTCTATAACACGAGCGGAGTGCAATACGAAGCCGAGATGCCGTATAACTGCGCGAGACGATGACGACTTTGTATCATATCTTCGGTTCAGTGCACAAAAGTTTTAGTCATTATCAAGCGAGATGTGTCAATAAGGGACTGGTCATATAGTAAAAGGGGGGTGGGCTGGGAAAATCATATATTTGGTGTCTGCACTTTTGGTAGCCCACCCCTTAATAGCTGCACGAAAATTTGTGGCCCACCCTTAAATTGGTGCTGAAAAATTATGACCCACCCTTTCAGAAAGGCAAAAGATACCAGCGTTCTATTTTTCTGTTGCCAAATAATTCTGTTACAATACTCAATTGCTATTCAAATGGTGCAATTAAAATTCAGGGCCTCTTTTAAGGATGTGTAACTGGAGGGGACATATTTAACGGGGGACCTGGAGAAATTCCAGTCGGCAAGTCTGTATCACTTCAGCTGCCAGCATAATTATATGTGCATGGTTTAACTAATAAGTATACGTCATAGGGCAGCAGATCAGGCTGTAAATTTTGTGTTTCTTGAAGCTCAGATAAGCTATTTCCTGCATTTTGAGGAGTTCTCCAACAAGAAATTAATCTTATAAACAGTGACACAATTACTACAATTTCACAGTCTCCCAAATGTAATCCAGTCCCAATAAGGCAACATGGTGACAAAATTGCTGACTGGAGGGGCCAATAAGAGGGCTGGGGGACATGTCCTCCCCAGTCTATATGTTAAAAGAGGCCCTGCATTAAATAGAGAAAGGTCTTTCTTTGCATGGAACTTCCATTCTCTTTCTCATAATTACAGCTAACGCCAAACCTCTAACGATGATTGTGATTTAACTATGCTCTCGTAGAAATTACACTAATTTGTTACATAATAAACATCCTACACCAAGCTCGTGACATTTAGAAATGATCATCAGAAAATTAGTTAGACACTACTAACATATTAGTCAAGACAGTAAATTCAGCGTTTACGTTTGAGGTTAACGTTTGTGGTATAAATGTACACATGGATCCAGATACGTTTTATTTCTATTTTTATAATATGAATTTTAATACACATGCCTTAAAAAAAATTTTCTGCATATTTTTACATGGCCCAACCTTATGATTGCACTTAACTTTCAATGACCCACCCTTCAACTGTGCTCAAAAATAGTGACCCACCCTCTATTTTTTCCAGCCCACCCTCCGTTTTACTTTATGACCACTCCCTAACACGAGTACAATAAAATGGTTTTTTAATATAAACACGAGTCGAGTACAATAATCAATATAACTGCGTGAGGGGATGACGACTTTGTAAAAGTTCATGTCTTCGACGGGTACTCAATAAAATGGTTTGGCAATAAAACGAGCGGAGTGCAATACGAAGAATGCCGTATAACTGTGCTAGAGGATGACGACTTTGTATCTTCAAATTTGTATCTTTTAGTTTTATCACGGTATATAAAAATTTCCGATTTCTAGTCCGACTGAGCTAACAAAAACAATAAACTAGCAATCCCAACCGGAAATACAATTTTAAAACGTCAACAATGCGACGTTTGCACGTTGTGCTTGTGCTATGACTGCATGAAATGCCAGAAATCGATTCCAAAGGTCAGCTAGAATGCACATCTATGCTTTTATCTGCTCAATGCCTTTTAGTTCCCAGTGCTACTATTCTATTCAGCAGATGCATGTCCGCCACAGCGGACCTATGTTTATGTATAATATTATAACATTTACATAATTATATACCCTGCTGGCAGTGGTTTATGAGCTGAGGAGAGACCACTGCGAGCAAACGAACGATCGTTTCATGTAGCCGCCGTCCAGATTCAAGGACGAATACATTAAATTCTCAACCGGTAAAACAAGTTTGACAAGGTTTTGTTGTTGTGCGCATGGGTCAATGCTTGCCACTGCTGGTAAAATGTGAGCCACTTGTACACTTGAAAATAACATCACGCTCTAAATATGGTAACACGCGCTATAAATATACTATAAAATACTATAACTTTACAAAATATAGAATAAAATGTGAGAAATTATACATTAAGATGACTTGAAAATCGCATGGCTTCAACAGAATAACTATAAATTCCACACTGCAACAAAAATCAACCTTTAGTCCTTTACAGAAATAGTAGCGCCGTCGCGACGATCTTTGATGGGTTGAAATTTGTGGCGGTTGAGGTTGCGACAATCAAAAATTGCAATAATTGTCAAAATCAACAGTAATTGGAAACATTATATTATTTGAAAACTTCGGGAATTGGCATTTATCGAAAACCTTAACACAATCTCTAACGTCAATACGTTTAAGTAACACAAATAAAGTTCATAAACCGAATTAAAACAATTGATATTGTTTTGTTGGATAAATACAAAAATTTTAAAAGATATAACCATGGGCGTACCGGAAGGAAAAAATTAGGGGGGCGGAAAGAAAATTGCCCGACTTTTCGGGATTCTGCCCGACTAGTGCCAAAAATTTTTTTCCGGAAAAATTGTTTTGGCGACCTCCCCCCCCCGGTCGCCAAAAAAATTTCGGTCAGTGTATCATTTTAGGGGTCAAAAAATTTTTCCGGACAACCAATATTTTTCGGAACATAACACAAATTTTCCAAAAATTACAAAATTTGCCAAAAAATTGACTTAATTTTAGACAAAATTCACAGAATTTGTCCCATTTTTTTTTATTGCAAACCAAAATTGCCCGACTGTTGATCGAATATTGCCCGACTGCCCAAAAAACTGGGGGGGGGGGGCTACCGCC